TTTCTGCTTCAGAGAGCTGAAGTTTGTATATATCACGCAGTCTGTCTTCTGGTTGCCTCTTTTTTGAATGACGAATACACACTACCGCCGCCTGCTGGTAAGGAGAGTTATTGCCACTCACGCATGCGCAGTGCTACTTGGCCGTCGGCTGAAGTGGTGTTGCTCAAGTTAATACTCAAGAAAAATATCTCAATGCTTCATCCACTACTGATGCCATGCCCCCCAATGCCCCCCATTATTTAACACATTTGCTCAATTAATAAAAAAGTACATGTTTTTGTGGATTCAGACAGTATTCGAAGTCTGCTTTATCAAGAAAATATTTATCTGCTCGCTATATGTGTTATAGAGATTAGATACAGATTATTTTAGATTGTACTTCAATAAAAAGCTTAAGAATATAAATTAATTTAGTTCATATACGTATAGTAGGAACATGTTGATTTCCTGACACTAGCATTGAATGCTAGAAAATATTCAATAATGAAACTAGTTTACTTGGTGACCATATCTTTATATTTTTTCAATTGTTGTGGACTCAATAGGCGCTTTCACACCAAGTACTTTGCCGTACTTAGTTCATCAGAACTTATCTGATGAACTAAAGAGCAGATCACGTTCACACCGGAAGAAGTCCCTGAGGGAGGATTAGGCAAATGAAGCTGCTGACATCCCTTCTTCTTCTTCTTCTTCTTCTTCTGCTTTGGGTTTACTGGCAGGCCGCAAACAACTTCACGGCATATACTGCCACCCGAAGTCCCCGGGCGGAAGTCCCCGGAGTTGGGGACTGGCTTCTGAAGCCTTCCGAGTAAATCGCCAGAAACGCCGACACCTCCTCATCTCCACCGCTTCCATGTTTTCTTTTGTGTTGCCATAAATTAGTCTCTCTCTGTTGTGCGCTGGGCTAATGCTAATAATGCTAATGCGAGGAAAATAAAATTGCGGCTTCACAAAACTTTTGGGGAGTTTTACGGGGCGTGGTTTACAATCCGCCCAGCCAATCAGAAATGGGAACCTTTTTCTCCCATGAGAGTACCTGCTCTCTAGCAGGGACTGAAAAGGGGGTGAAAAGGTTCTCATGAACTAAGTTCTAGTTCCGGATTTTTTTGGTGTGAACGCACATTTTCTGAACTATATAGGAACTATACTGGGAAAAGTACTCCGGGGTGAAATCGCCCATTATGTAGTGTTTGTGTATACCCACCCGGACTGTGTGTACTCCTGCATTACAGAGGCCACTCTCTGGACGAGCTGGCCTGTGGGGATGGGCTCCTGGTAAACCAGGAAGTACTGTTGTGCCAACTTCCGGGCTCGTCGCACCAAAACCCTGCAAGGACACAACTCATTAATTTATCTGTGAATGCTAGGTTCAGTAGTCAGACAAACACTGGTTGCATCTTCTAGATTTCTCTCACACAGTCATCAAAATCCTGAATCATGCATTTTAAAACCTTGGGCACACAAGATATAAGACACTTTTCATTACGCCAACTGTTGACCCAGAAATCCCCCCCCCCCCTTTCCAATCATAGAGGATCTCCCAATCCCTTAAATGAAACACCTGAATTATACAAGGAGAGAGGAGGCTTCTTAAGAAAGGAATAGATTTGCTTAAGCCGTTTATAATAACCTAACACAGCCCATTTTGACATTACCTCCCCTATAGTGCTTTTAAAGCCTTTGGACATCAGACAGAACAAAACGTTGTGTCTCAAGATAGCAAACTAAACCTCAGCAAAAGAATCCCCACCTGTAGTCAGGACCCATTCCACTGTAGACCATGCCTATGTGTTTAGTGATGGGCTCCACTTTGTGGACACTCTGTTCATCATACAGAATGGACTTTTGTTTCTTCTCTGTTGCCAGGACAACTCCATTGGAAGCTGAAAGTAAAAGACAAATCAAAATTAGCATCTTCAAAAATGTTAACTTTCTAACCAGCTTCAACTATATGTAATGCATACATTTGAAGGACATTAGTGGCCAATTAGGTTTCTGCACCAGTGTCTGTGACATTGACCTATTGACTTGTCTGAATACAAATCAGGTCCTTTGTTTTAATAAGCTTGTAAAACCCTCATTGTGCAATACTGCCATATTTTGCCACCGAGTCACATTTCCCTCTGCACTTGCAGTTGTGTGTTTCTGTTGCAGAAATGGTTCACATCCATGCGTTCCCATGGTAATGATCCTTTAGCAATACATGCATTTAAGAATTATACACCTTTCAAGACAGAGTCTTGTTGCATCCTCTGATATCAATCCGTCATCTAACATATGTGGATTATTCTATAACATGTTTTTTTCAACTCTAAGCATGCACCGTATTTCATCAATATTTAAATAACATTAAAAGACATGGGACCCACTTTGTCTAAAAAACATAGTAGTTTTTCTCCGCACATTTCCATGACTTACCTTTGATGCCCACTGAGGGAGCTCCGGCTGCTACGGCTGCCAGGGCATACTCAATCTGGACCAGTTTACCCGAGGGGCTTCAGGAAGAAACAAAGGATGCTGCATTACTATTATGTTGAAAGACAACATCTACTAAACGTTAACGGCTTCTGTAGTAAAGTTTCAAAACGGGAGCTCATGTATTATGGACAACAAAGACGAAACCGAAAGCTAAAACTACCGACTCATCTGAGCTATTGTAGCTAGCTAAGCTAGTTTTAAGTTATCATGTGGAACTGAACTGTTTCGGGCTATTCAGTGACACGCTTTCAACTACAAATGTGTGGCAGGTTTTTTATTTTATCATCAATATGAGAAAAAGTCACTTTTTAACTGTTTCATTTGAAAACACGTTAGCCAACATGCTAACAGTTTGCATTAGCCGATTCATTGCACTACCCGGCGATGACAGTGCATCAGCTACAACTTTGGCCCAAATCTGCTTTTACTGTCAAAATGCAAACCCTGCGTATACTTTATCGAACTGTCATTCAACAACAACCTCTACGTGCTAAAAATGAAGATGCTAATTTCAAATTAAAGGTAATTATTTGAAAAGTTTACCTAAATGTGGTGAGGGAGAAACTGTAGCCTCGTTCCGCCATCTTGTTCTTCTTCTTCTACTCTGTGTTGCCTGGAGACTTGCACATCCACTGAAGAGTGCACACTGCCACCTATAATAGTCACTGCACATGGACACCCACCCGGCCTGCCGTACAACCTAACATTGTTTGGATAAATAAGAAATGCAATTGTTTTAATAAAACAAAATAATATATTCTTCGGAGGAGGAGATGGGTCATTGCCTCACAAATACTTTATTACAGATAAGATGTAGAGAGGTTGATCTAAAACAAGTTTTACAATGCAAAGTAATTCAATAACTTTAAACCTTTTATGTAAGTAATCCAAATCATAGAATCTTATAGAAAAATAAATGCATTATTTATGAACATTTTATATTCAGATTCTTTACTTATGACATCATTATTATAGAAAATGCATGTGCATATTTCAGATATCTTACTATTTATAATGATAGCCTAATTATGTATATACTTAACACATGTGCCTGCTACTAAATAATCACAGCATTTGTATTTTAATTTGTACACAAATATTAAATAATAAAAAAAGAACTAAAGTCTAGAAAAAAGTTTGGTGTTTTGTTGAACCATAGAGACTGATTTAAAGTATAATTAATTAGTTAATAAACAAAGTTGAGTGCATTTTAGAAAAATGGCCGCTAGGTGGTAGTAAAACGCCTAGATGACTTTCGCCTGCCTGAAATTAAACAGAGGAAGAAGCGTGGTCTGTCGCAGTTCGATGACGATGTATTGAGTCTCTGTGACCGTGAGCTGTTTGACATGTACGGAAAGCAAGCGTGCTGACCAAAACAATGATGAATTTAGCGACTTTAGTGAACAGCCTCAGAGGCTCTCTGCTGAGCATTGAGAGAAGACTTCTGCAGGCGGCCGGACTAGAGAGACAGCTGGGTGAGTTTACTGACTGGAGCCTAGCAGGCAGAAGGTTATCCTGCTGCTGACCATCGATACAAGCATGGGCGTAATTTCCACTGGGGGCAGGGGGGACATGTCCCCTCCACTTTTCAAAATCCCGTTTGTGTCCCCCCAACTTTTCACATTTAAAAAAAAAAAATGTTTTACGCAAGTGGTCATCGTCACGGAGGAGCGTCTGTGTGTCTGTGTGTGGCAGGAGCGCATTTTGTGTGTGAGAGAGAGAGAGAGAGAGAGTTACGGGGGTTGTTGTTAGTATCTGGTGCTAGCTCGGAGATTAGATTAGAAGCTGTTTCAACAATAAGGAGAGGGAGAGTCCTCTCCTGTCGGACTGAGAGGCTGAGATAACATCAGCTCAGGGAGCTAAAGGACTCGCTGAGTGGTTATATTGTAAACTTTAGTCTAAGTTATCTCAGTGAGTCTCAAACGGTTTGGTCTAAACAAATATTTCCATCTATTTAATATAGTTGTTCAAAATAAGTTAAAAAGTAATGACAATGTCAGTAAAAAATTAAAAACACAGTTTGAAAGGGAAGTGATTAGTAAAATATGCATAAATAAAAAGAAAGAATGCAGACTAGGTAAGATAAAGATAGGAGAGAGGAGTATATCAATGATGTGTTATTGGTTGTGAGCATATTCTAATGGTTTTTGGAGTATTGAAATATATACAGTTCTGTTTCATATGAGTGTTGGAGAGCTGTATCCATAAATCTCTTAATTTGTGCACCAGATTGATGCCTTTAACTTCAATTTAAAGAAACAAATCTTACCGGGGGTGCATGCCCCCGGACCCCCCTATAGGATGTGAGGTCATCACAAATAAAACAGGTTCATGGATAGATAAATTTGCACACTCATTATACACACTACACATTTTTCTTGGATTAGTTAACACCATAGTCCCTAATATATATTTGTAGAAAGGCAAGAAATGGAATTAAATCGAGAACAATGTTTCATTGCGGAGGACCCCCTGTTTTGTGTCCCCCCCACTTCTCAAACCAAAGTTACACCCTTGGGT